TAATATTTATATATATATATATATACATACAGGAATAGCTTTACAGCAATCTTGCAGGGCATAAGACAGCATTTTATTCCGGAGTTTCGTACAATATGTTGGCAAGGCATCACTTTTTTTCAAGGAAATCTTCGGAGGGCGAGGTATGACCTCATTATACGGCAATACAAGGTTCGGTTATGGGGTGTCAATAGCTTTACAGCAATCTTGCAGGGCATAAGACAGCATTTTATTCCGGAGTTTCGTACAATATGTTGGCAAGGCATCACTTTTTTTCAAGGAAATCTTCGGAGGGCGAGGTATGACCTCATTATACGGCAATACAAGGTTCGGTTATGGGGTGTCCGCATGGAAATATATAGGTCAGCTTCATAAATATTTCATGCAAATGGATAGCTGTTCGCTCTAGTGAGGATGAAAAAAAAATCAGAAGCATTGGGATTTACACACTTATTTGATTAGGGAGATTATAATTGCAAAAGTTGTCATTTCCATACTAACCTGCTTTCTTCCCCAGACCTTTAATCTCAGCTATCCTTAAACTCGGCTGTCAGATAGCCAGAGCATTCCTCATAAACTCAAAGGAGGGAAGCGATATTTTGTGGAGCACTGCAGATTTTTCTTATAAAGCCAATGATAAGGAGAGACAAGGCGAGGCCATCTCAATATCCCCCATTTATTCTCATTACTAGCGATAATCATTACTCACTCTCTCTCTCTCTTTTGTTGGTTCCGTCTTTTTTGAGGTATTCCCTTCCCCCCAGTAGACGGCTGCTATATTTGGAGTAGAGCAGACGGATGCTGTTTACTGTCCCCAAAGATCCCAGAGTTTTATCTCCAACATCAGAGACAACCAGAATCAAACTCTCCCGCATCTACAACAAACACAGACTCTAAAGTGCTTAAAAACATGGGGCATGGGAAGAGTCTTGATAATGATGAAAGATTAGAAACATTGAGGAAAGTAAAAAAGATCACACTAATCTCTAGAAAAGTGCAGACAGAAGCGTTTAGGACCACACACTGCAAAAAAATAAAAAATAAAAAAACATTCTTCATGCGAATCTGTCTCTCTCCCCACTTGTTTTTTGGTGAAATTTAATAATAATTTTTTGTCAGTTTTGTTGTGTTTTTGTCATTTTTATTAATTTTTACTATTTCTACTTAGCTTTAATTTATTTTTATTTGAGTTATAATAATTTCATATTTCAACTAAAACTAATTAGAAATGTTTACCTTTTTAAGTTTTTCCTTTAATATTTATATTTAATTTCAGTTTTAAGTTATTAAAAATGATTTAATAGTTCTAGTTTTCTTACTTGATTTTTAGATTTAAAACAAGTAAAAAAAAATATGCCAATGCATTGACAAAATACACTTATATTAAAGATATATCCTCTACACCAGTGTTATTTATGTACTATTAAAAAAATTATGAATATTTGATTTATTAATAATTTACACTTTAAAATACGTTTTTAGTAATTTTATGTGCTTTTGTAATTTACATTTTTATTTAGCTTTGATTTATTTTTTATTTCAGTTTTAGTAATTTTATACATCAACTTGACTGAAAAAAATTTACTTCAAAGTTTTTCATCTATTTAGTTTTTTCACCATTTATATTTTATTTTATCTCAACTTTATGTGAATTAGCAAAAACATTTCTTTGAAATATTTAATAGTTTTACAATAACACTGCACTGTACTGGCAAATTTTGTCACATCAATTTATCTTGTTTAGACTTAAGTAAAAAAGAAAATAATAATAATAATACAAAAAATGCCTGTGCATGAAGATAATGTACACTCAATTAAACAATCTATTAATAGGACCTCTTAGTCCAATATCTAACACAGAGTTGATTTTCAAGTTCATTTTTCTTGTTTGAAAATCTTTTAGAAGTCACCTAGAAAATAAGACAAAATACTCATTATTAATAGGATTTATTGCAGAGCAGTGTCCACGAGACACATCCAATTTAAGTAAAAAAATAAATAAAATCTTTAAAAACAATTTAACTTCATGCAAGTTAGTACAGTGACTTCCGGAGATGAGATTTTCTCCACAACAGCCATGATAAGCAACAGAACCAGCGTTGTACTGGTTAGCCCCGCCCACAGTGAAATCTCATTGGCCCCAAATCCTCTTCTATATAACTGTAAACACATCAACCACACTGTAAAGATCTTTAGAATCCACAGTATTCCCTACAGGTAATGTTTCAGCCATGCGCTACGATGTCTGGCTCCACTAATTAGCCTAGCTGATTTCTTGAGCCGAGCAGCTGAGCTAATGAGTTACCTCGGGTGACCCTAACAAATAAAAGGTGGGAATTATCCTCGGTGGTGCAGCTTTCGCCCTTGCCTGTGGCTGCGATGTAACAAGTGTGCTAATTGGTGTTCCCTGTTTTCACAGGTGTAAGTGTAACCTCCACGCCGGTCAGTGCTCCCTCCGTGATGGGACCCTTCAGTGCGACTGTGAGCACAACACCACTGGACAAGACTGTTCAGCCTGCGAGAGAGGATTCAAAGCCAAGTCCTGGAAGCCTGGCTCCTACCTGCCCACCCCGAACGGCTCGCCGAACATTTGTACGAATTATGCACCTGCTGTATTCAGACACGCGCACACACCTGAGGGGAAGCTATGATTTACGTACAATGTAGAAAACTGGGGCATCTTCACTCGCTAAGGAAAGTAGAATAGCACGAAGCTTTCAAGTAAACTTCGCAATAAAAAGAAGACATATTGAATAGGAGAAATATACAGTTCATCGCTACTGTACGTTCACTGCGTGTAAAAGCTAGGCAGGTTTCTGTATTTTTTAACTCTTAGATGTGCTCCAGATTGGTAGAGGAATAAATAAAATAAACCCACAGGAGTGTTTTGAAAAATAAATGAGTAAAACTCTCTCATTTGTTTTATCTTCCTCTCTTTCTGTTTGCAGGTGAGGCGTCGGGAACGTCTGACAGTAAGTGGCATGCTAATGGAATGCGCTGACTGTCGTTTTCATGTTTTCGCTCCTGCTGCCATCACTCTTTTTGGCCTCTTTATTTCATGTCGTTAGCAAGACGTTGGTTCTGATCCATCCCTTAACTGTCATGGTGAACTCTGATGGCGTGATGCATTTTTCCACAGTTTTCTACTTCATAAATGTTTCATGTGATGTAAGACGCAAAGCATTCTAATGCTGGCTAGTGATCTATGAGGGTGCGCTCAAGGTTATAAGAAATTTCAGCGCGGTTCTGCCCATTTGTGGTGGTCTAATGCTGTTTTGTTGGAAATCTGAGGTGATGACTGATCTCAAGAAAAGTATAGAGGAATCTTAAAGGTGCACTTTGATACTTTTTTTCCAGCTTAAAGGTGAAACATTTACATTTTTAGTGATGCTAGTGGCTCATATATGACTAAGTTTTGCATCTGGAGAAATCTGTGGTACTTTTGAAAAATGTTTCAAATGGTTTAGATGAACAATTTAGTCATATCAGCTGCATAAAAGCTGTTTAATTAGATAAGAAAGTTCTCTTCTCTTGGTGGTGGCCATAATGAGATCATGTGACCAGTTAAATACGGCAAACATCATCTCAGTAAACGATTTTTACGACACGTTCAGTTGTGGAAAATGGGTGATAAATGTGACCCTGGACCACAAAAACTGGTCTTAAGTCGCATATATTTGTATATTTGTAGCAATAGGCAACAATACAGGTATAGGTCATATAGGTCATTAGGATATTAAGTAAAGATCATGTTCCATGAAGATATTTTGTAAAAACTTAATTCCTGATTAGTAATATGCATAGCTAAGAAATTCTTTTGGACTGCTTTAAAGGAACACTCCACTATTTTTGAAAATAGGCTCATTTTCCAACTCCCCTAGAGTTAAACAGTTGAGTTTTACCGTTTTCGAATCCATTCAGTCGATCTCAGGGTCTGGCGGTAGCACTTTTAGCTGTAGCTTAGCATAGATCATTAAATCTGATTAGACCGTTAGCATCTCGCTCAAAAATGACCAAAGAGTTTCGATATTTTTCCTATTTAAAACTTGACTCTTCTGTAGTTACATCGTGCACTAAAACCAACGGAAAATGAAAAGTTGCGATTTTCTAGGCTGATATGGCTAGGAACTATACTCTCATTCCGGCGTAATAATCAAGGAACTTTGCTGCCGTACCATGGGTGCAGCAGGCGCAATGATATTACGCAGCGCCTGAAAATAGACTTATTGGAAGTTACCTAGCTGGGGACTATTTTCAGTATCAGTATCAATTCAAAGACTAGAAAAAAGTTACATAGTGCACCCTCACTCATTTGCCAAACGAAAAAACAGGCTATAATGTTGTTCTCCATTTTCAGTGCCAACACTAGCAGTTACGCTTGATCCTGCCACTGTACCAATGTCCATAACTACATCCATAACACCACCCACAGTCCAACTGACATCAGACTCAACACCAGCCGCCACAGGTTCAGTCCAGCCGATCGCAGTAACCCAGACTCGGGGTACATCAGCGTCTGTAAACATGTTTACAGGTCAGAGCTGGTTTAAAGTCCATAGAGTAGTGCAGTTGTAGATTAAAATAGGTTAGTCTTGTAGTAGTTGAGCAGTGTTCAGTAGATGAGCTCTTTAGATAAACTAGAAGAACATAACAGAAATGCATAAAAGTATCAAAAAGTATCTTGGTATTACAGTGCATTTTTGGTCATGTACCATGTTAATATCATGGTATTCTAAGGAAATACCATAAAGAACCATGTAAATTACATAGTACATGGATATGGTAATCATTCAGTATCATGGTACATGCATGGGTAGTTGACAAATGGACATGGAAATTAACATAAAGCTTTACAATACCCTTCAAAAAGTTTGAGGTCATTAGAGCAATAAGTTAGGTGTATATAAGTTATATATATCAATGTAATATGTAAATTCATGACCAGTTCTTTTTGGAAACAAACACACTTAGATATGTCCAATATATTTCATATTGCAAAACAACAACTATGTTTTTGAAACCGCTAAAATTGCTTTATTTTTATGGTCAAAATCTGTCTCCTTTCTAACAAATTGTTCAAAATATAAGAGAAAATGGCCTTAAGAGAAATTACAAGTTGTGTCAACTGCCTATATACCACAAGTACTGGCAGGTGGTATTATTACCATTTGAAACCATAACTGAAGCGTTTCTTCCCAACCTCTGACCAATGAATAACACTCACTGGAGTGAGAGCAATTTATCACAGCGTGTGTCGGGCCATGGACGCTCACTCTCCCTCAGGGTCCCGCTGCCTGCCATCAAACACACATGCAGAAGACACATTAATACATTATTTCACTCAAAGTAATATGTTGAAATATCTCCATAATTCAATATTATTAGGGCCTGTCAGAATGGCCTGATTTTGGAGTTTGGGATGTCATTTTTTTCAATCATTGCCAAGCTGAAAATATTTAATAACCCTCACTGGAAAGAACTGGGATTGTTTAGAGTGGGAAAAATAATCATTCACAGCATGCGAATCAGATTTTGCAAGTTCTGTCAGCATTTGTCCACAAAAAAGTAATGTTTTATGTATGCTTAATGATGTGTGAGAGAGGTTTTTCCCCTGAGCCTAAGGTGCAATGCCCCTTTTAAAATAGACATTGTGTGTGCTGTTACAGGAAGAAACTGTCCTGTACTAAAAGTTTCATGGTCACTTCTAATATTTTTAAACCCTGGGAAGAATTTGTGGTTCAATAACGTCTAGGTTACTTGTGTAACCCTCGTTCCCTTAAGGAGGGAAAGGAAACTAGACGTTCCCATTCGATCAGTCACGTTCAACGTTACGTCAGTGACTGACGAATTGGGATCCGTATGGAAAACGCCACTATTGCTGGGGTGCGCGTGGCGAAACACGCACGCCAACTGTCATTGGCTTGTTTAGTTAACACTCGAAGGTGATTGGGCTCTCGGGCGAGATCCCAATTCGTCAGTCACTGACGTAACGTAGAACGTGACTGACTGAATGGGAACTTATTGAACAGGGACGTGTCACTGTGTTTATTCACCCCACTGAATAATGGAGCACTCTGACACTCGCCAAGGACATAGCTGAAATCTGAATAGTCCGATTATGAAACTCGAGTCAGATCTTTGATTTGCATGAAAAACATCTGGATTCCAGTTAGTCTCAGCCTTAAACATATACCATTCACAGACAGTCTGAAGTATACTGCAGACAAAACCAGCAACAGCCAGAGAAATCCCAAGTTCTGATTGGCTTTATGATATGTAACTTCTGTGAGGGTGCACAGGTTTTTCTCAGTTAGCTGGGAAACAGCTGGAAAAAGTTTTAAATTAATAGTTCATTGTATTAATGACATTAAAATTAAAAGATATTGTTTGAGGCCATTATTACAGGGCTCCCATGCACATGGCAAATCTCAGGAAATGTTATTTACTCCTGTGATGCAAAGCTGAGTTTTAGCATCATTACTCTAGTCTTCAGTGTCACATCCTTCAGAAATCATTCCTATATGCTGATTTAGTGCTCAACAAATATTTTCTTATTATTATCATGGTTGAAAACAGTTTAAGATTTTCACTCCCCCCCCCAGGATTCTTTGATGAACAGAAAGAAAGCATTTATTTGAAATAGAAATCTTCTGCAACATTATGAATGTCTTTAGTGTCACTTTTAATCAATTTAATGCATCCTTGCTGAATAAAAGTATTAAAGGGGTCATATGATGCTATTTTAAAGATCATTATTTTGTGTATTTGGTGTAACAGAATATGTTGGCATGGGTTCAAAATACTGTCGACCATAAAATGCGTTGCACAAATTTTAACATCTGGGTTGTGCTGTTCTGTTGTAAATAAATCTTAACCAATGATTCCTAATTGCATCTACTTCCGGAAGGCCAAATAAAGTGTTTTTGCTTTCGCACTGAAACACACACCGTCTCCCTGACATGGCTGCATCAACACTACTGCGGTTCCTGAAACCATGCCTTCTTTCTTTGCGTGAACATTTGGGCGGCATTATGCTAATATTTCCACATAGTGACGTAGACATGTGGGGGCATGTTAGAATGAGCCGTTTTAGGTAGGCGTGGTTGACTCTTCACTTTTATAAAGAAAATCTCTTTGGATTTGAGACTTTCGTCTTTGCAACTTTACAGATCTTCTTTATGCACCAAGAGCTTGTAACACTCCAAAGAGAAAGGAATAATTGAAATCGCATCATATGACCCCTTTAATTAAAAACAATTTTTATTTTTTATAGTAGGTGTATACCTCATTTTATCATGCATATTAACTATTTTTGCGTGAAATTACTGTTAAATAATTATTAAATTGTTAATTCCCAGTAAATCACAAATAATTGGAAAAGCCATGTGAATTCAGTCAATGTGTGAGAACGCATTAGTTAGCCACACATAAAAAGACATCAAAAATCTAACTGTATAATCCACTTTGTTTGCTTTGTATATCTCTGAAATAATAAGTATGTATTACTTTACACTTCATTGAATGCCAGTCTATTACTGTGGCATGTATGACTGATTTCAGATTTACCCACCTGTAAACATCAATATAAAAAAATGAAATTGTTTATTTTACAAGCCTTATAATCTAGTCAGCACTCAGCAGTTAGTGACCAGAATAAATTAGAATGTGGACGCAACTCTTGTTGAAATCTAGTTGCTCCAGTAGCAGTGACCTCTGCACTCGTCACGCTGAAACGGGAAGGTTATCAGCATATGCGCTTCAGGGGCAAATCAAGACATCATTACCAAAATTATCTCCAAACAATCCTGGGATTGAACCCTACTGCTATCCAGTGTCATTTTTTATTTTATTTTTATTAAATTTTACTTTGGAATAAAATATGGAAGCACCGTTTATTCCATTCTTCTTTCCTGGATAGAGTGTTTGGAAAGCTCTCACTGTCCTAAAGGAGAAGACAGAGAGGAAAACAGAGTGAAAGAGAGAGAGAGGGAGAATGCAATAGAGAAAGACGGAGAGCAGGAATTTGGAGGAAATGGATGATGAATGTTTATTAATCTTGTGGGCCTCCCATCACACTAAAAATAACCCTCATGCATTTATCCAGCAAGGGCAATGTTATTGCACATCTTCATGCCCAAGTGTCTGAGGCAGAGCATGGGGAGAAGCATCTCGAAGATTTAGTAAGCAACTATACGTAATAAAGGTAAAATTATTCATAATTACTGCAAGGGACTGGCTCTGTTCCAAAACCAAGTGAACTTCCTCGCTGTCTACAGCCTACATAGGCGCCTGCCTTCTGAGACAGCATGCTAACTGAAATGGAAGCTCATAAGTGACTGAATTATCTAAACAGACAGCAAATTCATGGGTCACACAAACAGCACTCCTCAAAGCAACTGAATGTAGTTTTGTCTACAGTTAAGTGAGCGGAGTTCACTGTCATAATTACAGTGGATAGCTGTACATATGCATTTGATTTTACCGTAAAAATGCGCCCTTTTAGCAGAATTTCGTACCCACTCACCAAACTCACATACTCCCAGAACAGGCGTTTGGGGAAATAGTTATTCGCCTTATTAGAAGTCAGTTTACCATCAGACTGATTTTAAAACTGGTATTACAAGGTTAAAAAAAAAAAAAAAAAATACTGTTGCTTTAAGTCAAACACACATATATGGTATGAGGAGACAGAACATTCGTAAAAAATGCATGGGAGAAATTGTATGGCTCATTAGGTGTGTGATGGAATGGAAGCCCCCCGTCTTCAATTTGAATGAGCCAATCACTTTGGCAGTTTGCACATTCTAGAATCTATAATTTTTTTAAAAATGAGAAAAAAAAGAAAATGAAAAGAAAAAGTATGGCAAAGAATAATCAAATAAATCTAAATGTGTTGTACATTTCAATAGCATCAACAACAAATTAACTATAAAATATGACACTGTTACTCGCTACTCTGAAATTATAATACACTATTGAAACGTAACCTTGGAAAACTGTTTTGGAGATTCTGGTCTTTCCTGGTTCAAGTACATAAAATATTTTCTTGTTAGTTTCATTCTTGTGTTAGAGTTTGTGAAACTAACAAGCACAAATATAGCACTCACAAATGATGTAAAATAGACTACTTTTTAGATTTACTATTTTTAGCCATACTTTTTGCATAAAAAAATGCAAGTATATTTATAAATCAACATTTCTCATGCTTCGTCCACCTTCTTGGATAGATTGTCACAATGCATTTTGGCATTGCTTCCCTTGTGAAGCATACATTCTGCTTTAGAATCTGGCCGAAATACATTTTCTTAGAAGGCAGCACAGTCATCCTGCCTACCTTTTGGAACAGCAGGGGTGCACTTATGATGCCTTAAATAGTCAGCTTACTAGACCTTGGAACAGAGTCATTAATTCACAAGATTGCAAGCCTGCCTTTTTTTAAACACTCTTTCTTTGTTTCTCTCTGTCGTTCTAATGTTGCCAGAGACTGAGAGCGGTCTGAAGTAGATTGGGCCACTCTGTGCCTGCTCTTTTGGT